ATCCCACGGAGTACCTTCATTCTTGGACCACGTATTTCTCTCTGTTTTTAAATAAATATTGCCATAACAGTACATAATAAGCATTAATGATTTATGCTTAAAGAATAATTACTTCCAAAACTAACAAACTTAATGTTTGTTCATGCTTAATAACTCGTGAATTAATTATTCTGTATACTGCCTACAAGCTGGTAAAAACCATGTCTATGAACACCCAAGACAGTTAAAACTACAAGCAGTTGAAGATAAAACTATAAAAGTGAAAATAAAATTGTTTTAAAAATTTGTGTTATTTTTGATTTTGTTTTATTATCATTACTTTTCTTACATACGGTTCTGTAAGTTGTATTCATGATTAAATGCAGCAAAATAAACTATTTCAAAGGTAACAGATCTTTGTAATACTTGTTTTATTCATATCTGGATGTTCGGCCCCTCAGCTGTTGGCCTGCAGTAACTGTGTTTTAGTGGAACCAGTTTGGTTCAGTAAATTTAATAGTTTGTGTATTAGAGAACGTGTAAAATTACTTTTACGTTTACTTCCTGGATTTTTGTGATCAGTTTTATGACTTTTGGTAAAAATAAATTTCACTGAAGGGAAAATTGTTTAAGTCATTTTCTTATTTTTACTTTTATTTACTTATTTTCTTTTCAAGACCTCTGTTGATTTCTACAGGTGAAAAGGAACTTGTGGCGCTTCAGGTTTTTGTCCACATTAATAAAAATGTAAAGAAAAGTGGTGTGTAACAGGATGTGAAGTACATTTATATGAGCATTTAATAATTAATTTATGAGTTATTAAGCATTAACAAACAATAGGTATGTTGGTTTTGGAAGTAATTAGCCTTTTTGGATAAAGCCTTAAACTTCATTTATACTTTTATTATAAATGAATACTTAATGACGTTTTCAAGGTTAAATAACCATTTATTAATGATTAAGTAAAGTTTAAAATGGTGCAGTTATTATAAAGTGTTACCAAACTCTGGACGACAGCAGTTTTTCTCTTTGCTTCAGTTTAATTTATGTGAGCTTTGATGCAGAGAGAGGAACAGCTTTTCTATGTGGTGTTATATGGCTTCTACTTTGCATGATAGAGCTTTAACCAGCATTTGTGGATGATTATGACGTGTGGAAGGTTTTTATGAAATGCTGGCCTTTAAATTAGAATTAGAATGAAAGCTGTTATTATCAGACAGTCACTGACTCCAGTGTTCCCTCAGGAGGTGTTGACGGTAGGGGAGGAGACGCTGTCGTCTCCGTGCTACCTGCAGCTGGAGGAGGAGTGTTGTCACGTCCTCATGGAGCARCTGGGAACCTACGGCCTTGTGGGCCAGTCCTGCCCTCCGCGGCCCGCCTGTAAGCGCCTGCAGCTGGCTCTGTTCGCCCCCCGAGCGCCGTGCCTCTCCCTGGACTACAGTCTGCGCATCTACTGTATCCATGATACCCCACATGCACTGAAGGTGYTGCTCCGGTCCTCCTGCATGTTGTGTCTCAGTGCCTTTAAGAATCTGTCTTTATTCACTCGTATGTTTACGGTGGCAGGGTTATTTTTACTGCCCTGTCAGAAAATACTGCTGCTGCTTGGTTTATATCAAACAAACAGACTAATTTAGTCCAAACCGACGTCACTTTTGCTCCTTTTCTTCTTTTTCTCAGGATGTCTTTATCATTTCCATCATTTTCATTTCTAATGGTATAGTTCCTCGCCTCGCGTCTCAGAAAAATCAAGCACGAGCATTATCTCTGCGTGAATCTCATCTGTAGCGCTCCACTAACTCAGTATCTCTCCGAGAACTGTCCTCCCATCTTTTTGTTTTTTTTTTTTCCATCCGACTTTCCCTCGTCTGCTTACGAGGCTCCTAAGCCTCTTAAAAACCCGCCTCCGTACTCCTGGCTGTTTCCTGGAGGTCTCTGAAGGGTAAAGATGCTTTGTGAGTAACTTTAGTTTTTTACAAGGAYCCTGGTGTTAGCCACTTGAGTAAAATTCTAAGATAATGTTATATTTCTACAAATTTAATTTGATTTGTTCCCCAGGAGGAACTTGTTGTACCGGGAAGCTTTATGAAGATGGCGCGAGGTGCTGGCAGTCCTCCTGCATCGGCTAAAATGATGCTGTGTCAGTGACTACGCCCTGAAAATGACTTTTTGTGCCTCTGCGAGTTTCAGCTCATCWGTTTATAATATCCAGACCGTGGCCCACCATCTGGAGACCTCCTGCTTTAGATATTAAAGTGCCAGTAACATCAATTTAATGTAATAAATATGAATGCATTTTTGGAAAGATAACATTAATAACATATTGTAAAAAAAGATTTTCACGCCGCTGACACGAAGAGTTGTTGAGATATTTGCATGTGAAGTAACAGGAAGTGATGTCAAAGGGGAATGTCTGCATGTGAACAGAGTTTTGCTAAGATGGCTAAGAATCTGATGTTTCTTTAAAATATTTTAAGCACTATCATAGAGATGATAAAGAGTCATAATATTGTTTAAATAAACAAAAACCAGGAAGTTTTCTTTCTCAACGAGTTCCCCTTTGATGTCACTTCCTGTTTCACTTTAGCTGAGCCAAGTTCAAAAGAAAATGTGCCAATTATGTGACATAAGTAAAATCATGTGTATTATGCCAAGTTTCTTCCATATAAACATATTTTCTTTGATTTTTTTTTTGTATTTCATGGATATGCATGTCACAAGCACTTTAAAATTCTCATTATTTATTGGAAAATCAATCAACAGATTTTTAGATTAAAAAGCTGAAGTCTTTCTCTTATATTGAACCTTGTTTTTTTTTTTTTTTTTTTTTTTTTTAACTTTTTTTTTTTTTTTTTTTTTTTTTTTTTTTTTTTTTTTTT